ACGTGACACTGCAGTAACGTTTCCGATCGTTATAGTGTTGTAGCGAATGAAAATATCCTCAGATCGACGATCGTATTTTCTCCAGCATACGAACGTTTTTCCCGTTTTCCGCGCAGCACCAAGCCAATTGATATTCAAACGTGTCCGTTTCACGGTGCAATTATGGGAATTTATTGTACATTATACGGCGAAGAGAAGGAAATAGCCGGAGATATGGCCGGGGCGCCATTGTTCTCCAGAAGATGGTTAAGGTAATAAGATTACGTCACTTTGAGCCGGTGAAATCGTCTCGTTAGCTGATATTCACCACGAACGATGCAGCGATTCTCGTCGTCGTTCATTTCACCGGGAAAGGCATCGGGATTTTTGTTTCGCGCGACGCTTGTCTAGGCAGAACAGGGAAGAAGGTTAACGCGACAGACAACATTCAAATTACTTGGAGAAATCAGTCGTCGCTTGACGTCGCTCTGAACATGTTGTTTAAGCTAGGGCGAGAAGATCGAGTGCCTGTCGTTTAGAATTCGTAGAAGAAGGAAAATTTGAAGAAGCAGCCTTCTGTTGCGTAGTTGCCGCCCTTGGCGTATTTCGATTCGCAGGTCCGCGCGATTATGCGATTTTTTCTTCTTTTCTCCTACGTCGGATAACAAGGGACAAGTTTCCTTAAGGTTTCTCGATCGATTCGATCGAAAGCGGGGGGGAGAGAAGAGAGAGGGTGTCTTGGTGGAGGGGACGGAAATTGCTCGATGTCGTGAACGATTACTCGATGAAAGGAACTAAAGAAACGGTCTTCTGACAGATTCGCCAATCGGCCACCTATTGGAAACATCGGAAACATGTGCACGGGGCACAATCTATTTAATTGGATAATATAGATAACCGGCAAATCAAATCGCTCTGTCGCATACCCCTTCCCCGTGGGTGTGGGAAAAGAATAAATCCAAATATTCTCTACGTGTCGTAAAAGGCGACTAAAAGAGAACTGCGAAATGCACCGATAAGAAGTCAGTGCGTATTACCACGTCCCCAAGAGCAAAATTCTTTACAATTCAGCATTGGAGCAAGTATAGTCTTCGATCCCGCGAACGGCGAATGATACTGGTAAGGCTGGTGCCCTAATTGTTTCTCTCCTGCAAACCCTTTCGCCGTTGCAGAGTTGCAGTGATGTAGGAAATTACGTTTGTCCTCAGGGCGAGAAAGCAGACCTATCGTGTCCGTCCGGACCGAGCCGTTAATACTAACTATTATAGCATATTGTCGCTGTTAATAGACGAAAAGATTCTTCGGTAGAGCTCGAACCTTGGTAAAGTTTATCTATGGACTAAGTTAATCTGTGGACGAAATATTTCTTCATGCAACGTCATTCGTGATATACTTTTTGGATATAATGTTAGGTCCTCGTATGAATGAAGTAGCAAATTTGCGTTACACTTTTAGCTCAATTTCTTAAAATTAATTTTTAAAAATAAATAATGTTGGGCATTATATATTAGGTTCTAGTGAAATAGGTAAATGAAACAGCAAAATTCATTATAAAATTAATTTCACACTGCTACTAGTTTCAGTCAATAGTAATATGATTCAACTTCGATATCAACAATTTTTAACAAAGTTGCTAAAAGATAGATGGTCTTTCAATATTTAGTATTCAATGTAATGAAGTATTCTAAGGAAGAAGATATTTGAAGAAATATATGGATGTAATATTAAGTCTTTGTAAATCAAATAGCTGAATTCTTTACAAAACTACTAGTTTTAGCTCGATTTATATCCTTCTTGAATAAGATTCACCTCGTTCAGTAATTTTGACTTGCAAAACAAAGTTGCTAAAAGACAGACGTTTTTTTAAATATTCGATATGATGGAATAATTCAAAGAAAGAGGAAATATACATATCGTGATATACATAGTGGATATAATATTAGGTCTTTATCAGTCAAATAGCGGTGTTCTTTGTAAAGCTACTAGTTTTAACTCGAT